CACTTGCTACCACCACTGAAGGCTCCATCGTTCCGGTTCTTCTAGAGAGTCCACAGGCCAATGCTGAAGCTTGAGGCCCAAGGAACGGCATTCCTGTCCGTCTGAGTGTTGAGGATATTTGTGCGGATCCACTGATCGAGATCCGTTGTCAGAAAGTCCACCATGTTGTTTGCTGGCACCTCTCTTGTCCAATAGAAAAGGGTGGCTGGGCAGTCCCTCAGGATATGTAGTTCAGTCTCTGGCACATTAGTACATATGGTGCAAAACGGATTACGAGCTAAGTGCCTGTCAAACCTCTTTTGGTTGGTATTGATGCGGTGAAGAAGAACCAGCCAAATGAAGTGTCGAACGCGTTCTGGGACTTGTAATTTCCACACTACTTTCCATGTCTGTCGATCCATCGTCTGGGCACCGGGAAAGCGATCTGGTATGCTAATTTTGCTGTGAATTGCCCGGTAGATGTGGGCTGCCAGCACAGTCTATCCTCTTCCGCAGAGAGCGTATCAGTAGCTATTGCCGTGATCTTGTCCATGACATCCGTTGGTAGCCACTGCTGAAGGAGCTCCACCCGCCATTGTCTGTCGTCTTTCATGTAAGCAGCTACTGGTTTCTCGCCCTCCTCTTCACGTATTGGCAGCACTGCGACTTCCTTCAGGAGTACCTGCAAAGCCCAAACGTCAGTCCAGAACTTGGTGTTCTTTCCATTCGAAATGTTCCAAGCGCATCCTTTCCTCATAATAGGAGTGGCTTTGGTGATACTTTTCCAGGTAAAGGAACTTCCCTGTTTGGCCTCGAGGATTGACAATCCTTCTCTATTCCGTCCATACTTCCCCCGCACGACTTGAGTCCATAGGGTATCTTTCTCTTGCAACACCCGCCAACCGCTTTTGGCCAGGAGCGCTGAATTGGAGTGGCGCAACGAACGAATACCAGCTCCTCCAATTCTCCTTAGGCTCGAGGTCAAAGCTTTTGATGCTTACACAAGCCAGACTTTTACACTACATGCTTCTTTATTGTGGACAATAAATGATTTTCCAGCATATGCAATGTTATCCGGCTGGAGCACTAAGGGTAAGCTTGCTTGTCCTGTTTGCAATAGGGAGACAGATTCACTTAATTTGAAATGTGGAAACAAAGAATGTTACATGGGTCATCGTAGATGGTTGGAGAAAGATCATCCATGGAGGAGAAGTAAGAAATTTAATGGTAAGGCAGATCTTAGAAGACTCCAATTTTATCCGGAGAAGAAATTTTGAACCAATTGAATGTTGCTATAACTGATGAAACAGCTAATCCGAGTCGGAAAAGGAAAGGAATTCTTCTGACAGCCAGTTAAATTGGAAAACAAAAGTTGCTTTCTGGAGGTTACCATACTGGAAAACTATTGAATTATGACATAACTTGGATGTTATGCACGTAGAAAAGAATATTAGTGAGAAAGTTTTGGGAACATTGATGAATATTGAGGGGAAAATGAAAGATACACTTAAAGCCAGATTGGATTTAGAGAGAATGGGAATTCGGAAGGAGCTGCATGTGAACAGAGATGGAGATAAGGCTACCCTACCTCAAGCTTCTTATGCATTAACTGTTTCCCAACAAAGAATAGTGTGCGACTGGTTGCAATCTGTTAAATTCCCGGATGCATATGCATCAAACATTTCTCGTTGTGTGACTAGTGATGGTCGGTCAATTTCTGGAATGAAAAGTCATGATCACCATGTGTTCATACAAAGACTGTTGCTTGTCGTGGCACAAGGGTTATTGCAGAGAGAAATCTATGTGGTTCTTGCAGAATTAAGTGTCTTTTCCGGGAATTGTGTTCAAAAACTATAGGAAAGTCCACTGTGCAAAAATTGAAAACAAACATAGTCCTTATTCCGTGTAAACTTGAGATGGTTTATCCCCCTGGATTTTTCGTTGTTATGATGCATCTAGCACTTCATCTTCCTCGTGAAGTAGAGCTAGGTGGTCCGGTTCAATATAGGCGGATGTATCCCATGGAAAGGTACTCCTTCACCACATTTTGTTTCTGTTTGGGTTCTCGAAATTTTGTTTAATTTTAACAAACTAAGTTCTGATTTTATTTTTTTATCTTAATGTCAATAGGTTCTTAGGTACACTTAAAAATCTTGTAAGTAATAAAGCTCGTCCTGATCAGGGATCTATAGCTGAAAGATATATAGCTGGAGAATGTGCGGAGTTTTGTGCCAAATATTTGCAAGGGGTTGAAACAAGAGCAACTCGTGCAGACAGAAATGATGAGCGTTGTGAAGACATGGAATCGAATGGGTTCTCTATTTTTACAAATAAGACTAGACCACTAGGAGGGGCCAAGACTGCAATCTTGCCCGTAACTGAATTCACTAAGATTGAAAAATATATTCTAAATAATTGCGAGGAGATCGATGAGTACTTGAAGTAAGTGAGCTGACCTATACTTGTATTTTTTGTTTTCCTATTGAATGTTGCTATATTCTAACATACAAACTGCATGCAACATATATACAGAAGAATTGAAGTTAACTAATCCTAATAGTACAGCAGAATTCATTGAAGCTAACTTCCCAAAATGGTTGAAAACAAATGTAAGAATAAATTCATTCCCCTTACATCAGTTATGATAGATGGTTTTGTACAGATGTGGCATAGATAGCTCCTTACATATTTGACTTGCTTGGTGTTTTCTTTTCTTTTGCTGTATAGGTTACACAACTGTTTTGCTCTGGAAAATTTCAAAAAAGTGACCATCTATATAGTCTAGGACTTGGTGCAGATGAAAGAATTACTAGATATACTGGAATCATTATAAATGGGATTCAATTTCATGTTTATGACGTAGACAAAGATCGTCGTACTCAGAATAGTGGAGTTATTGTTGAGGGTGAACACAATGGAGCAATTATAGAATACTACGGGGTGCTCGTTGACATTCTGAAATTCCAGTTTTGTTATGGTTGTCACGTTTATGTATTCAAATGTGATCGGTGGGATGTAGGGGATAAAATAAAAGGGATTAGGTCTGATGGCTTTCTAAATAGCGTCAATATAGGCAGAAAATGGTACCCTCATGACCCATATATATTAGCTAGTCAAGCTAAGCAAGTTTTTTAAATTGAGGATTTGCGAAATGGTGGTAGTTGGCGTATAGTGCATAGAGTATCCCCTAGGCATGTATATGACGTTCCAGAGATGGAGGATGTTAATGATCAGGATCCCGTTTATGATAGTGAGCCATTCCAACAAGATGAAAGCATCGACCTGAACACTATTGTGTTAGACGCTGATGAGATCCATTCGTTGAGTCGTACTGATGTGGCTCCAATTACTCTCAATGAGCACGAAGTTTCAGTTATGGAGCAGTTACTGGCCAGTGCAGAGGTACTTCCCGAGGTTGATAAGGAGGGGGATATGGCCAGTGAAGAATCAGAGGAAGAGGAGGTGGATATGGAAGATGATCTTACTGGTCCCTCAATTGAAAATGAGGCCACTAATTGTAACAGCGAAGAAGAGGATGATAATTAATTGTCAATTTTTGCATTCACTTTTCCTAGTGGACACCAAATTATATTGGATTTGTAATTGTCACTTCTGATTTTCTATACAAGCATTTATATGATCCAGACGCAACTTTCTTATACAAGCATATATAATATCTTATTATCCATGATATAATCTACTGTTTGAATGTGGTATGCTGTCATTTAGACAGAACATTATTATACAAGCATTTATTCTCAACCCTGACACATTTGTGTGTTTAGATATGGCTCTAGGTGCAAGTCGAGGTGGGAAAAGAAAGACAGCTACAATGCGTCAAACCCAAACAACAAGGATGAGAAGAAGTTCGCATCAGACTGCTGCTGCAACTGAAACCACGGAGGAGCTACAGAGTTCCGAGCTCCCAAGAGAAACTGAAACTCCAACAGTGACTGAGACTGGTTTTGATGGATCAAACAACATGGATGCAACGGCAGCTGATGTCAATGAACTAAGTAAGCTGTGATCAACAATATATGTGTTTTGTGATAATGAATTTACTGGTAGCTCTGGTTGCTAGCTAGCAGCCCTTTGTTTTTTTTATTATTCTCTTACTAGATTATGATAAACCGTCGGTAGTGTCAAACTTGTAACACCACCAGCAAGAAGTGGATCGTGTGTCCTAGACTTGTAGAGTTTTGTGATGATGAATTTACTGGTAGCTCTGGTTGCTAGCTAGCAGCCCTTTGTTTTTTTATTATTCTCTTACTAGATTATGATAAACCGTCGGTAGTGTCAAACTTGTAACACCACCAGCAAGAAGTGAATCGTGTGTCCTAGACTTGTAGAGTTACTGGTAGTTTGGTACTTGGTAGGGAGATTTTTTTTTTCATTGTTTAATTTCCCTTTTATTGGTGCGTTAACTAGCTAGCGTTCAATTTAAGTGCAGATGGATTTTATTAAGTAATACTTTTCAAAACAATGATTTTCTTTGGTGTTTTATGCTGTTTTGTGCGATGTGTGTTTACTACTTTGGATTTGCATCTTCATTCTGCAGCCCCATCCGTTAAAAGAAGCATCAATTTGTGTTCAGTTCTAGGTGTTTAACCGTGGCTGTTTTCTTTTGTTTAATGCATTACTTCACCATTAAATGATGATCATATATATGCTACATGATGAATATAATTGTATAACAGGCCAACCACAGAAGAAAGGACGCGGAAAAGCCAAAGGTCTCGAGATGGCAGTAAGATTGGCGGTATTGAGGTTGCACAAGGAGCCAAAAAGGTAGTTGGCACTAATGAGAAAATTTTTAAGATGGAGTTGGGAGTGATATGCAAGATGATGGCGCCTATTGGTAAGTTCTATTGGTCAGCTGTGACAGGAGAGGAAAAACAGCCCATTTATGCGAAACTAGAGGTACACTCTAATAATTTGTTAATTGACAAAGGATTATTTCATATTTTTTATTCTACTAATATGCTGTTTTTGTTTGTAGTCCGAGTTTGATATCTCGATGACTGAAGATATGCAGAATGCTATAGACTATTCCTTGTCCAGGCGGTTCACAAACTTCAAGCACCACTGTCATGAGCATTACCAGAACTTAGGTGCTGCCAATGCTCGCCAGACTCCGCCTGAAAACATAAACATGGATGATTGGGTCCATCTGTGCGAGCATTTTGAGAGCCCAAGGTTTAAGGTGATGCCCCCTGCCAACAACTCCATAACTTTGTTTGAAACTTTTCATACTGCTGCATTTGCTAGTGTACACCCACAATGCATCCAATGAATGATCAGGTGTACATATAATTCTCTGCAGAGGCAAAGTGTCGCTTATAAGCGTAGCAAGAGTATGCAGGCATATGCACATACTACCGGTGGTAAATCTTGTAGCCACAGGATGTATAAAATGATAAATTCTTGTACATTCATATCGTAACCCAATTCCAAAACTGTTTTTTTTTCTTTTCACAGCTCATGCATGTTATTTTTATGTTTATAGGAGAAAGCCAAGCAAGCCACAAACCATCCTGACGAGGAGAACAGTAGTGAACAACAATCTGCTGCAGTGGAGGAAGAAGAGCCAAAGGAGATAAAAGTGTATGCTGACAGACATAGGAGAAGTGATGGCAGTTGGGTTAATGAGCAACGACAACAAAACTATGTAAGAGTGTTATGTCTTCGTGTTTAGGCTATAAAGTTCTAAGTCCTGTATTGATAAATAAATTGAGGTTGTACTGTCTTTGCAGGAGAAAATAAAGAGGATTTATGCTGAAGCTGTAGAGAAGGGGAGCCCATTATCTGGTGCTGAGATAGTGTAGATGGTGCTTCAGAAAGCACCAAGTTACATCAACAAAGAGAAACCAAGTTCCGAAAGAGAGAAAGACCTAGAAACGCGTTTGGAGAACTCATTGGTTGAAGGGGAGAGGCAGAGGCAAGAGTTTGAGGAACAGATACAATCCCAACAGCAAATAGAAGAGCAGCAACAGGAGATTCAAACTCAGAAGGAGATTATCCACAAGCTACAAGAGTCACAGGACAGTCTGAAGGACTATGTGGAGTCCCTAGCTGAAAAGCTTAATGAAAGATCAACTTAGTTTGAAGGTAATAACTTCTGAAGAAACACATTTATTCTTGTCATACCTTTACGAACCTTTACAGATAATGTGAAGAATGTTTTATTTACTCCACTACATAGTGCCCCATCTTCGTTAAGTGTGGTGGTATATATATACATCATTAGTTTTCATTAAGTGTGGTGGAATAAGAATTAACGTTGTTTCTCTCATCGGTACAGGTAGTTTTCAGGAAGTGAAAAGTTCTTGATTGAACTGTCATCCACCTTATTTTGGATGGGCATGGACAGTGGAGGCATGCAGGGATGGTTTGTTAGAAAGTTTGATAGTCGGTAGAACTTTCATTTTCAAATGGACTTGCTGTAGGGTTGTCTGTGATAGTGGAACTGATGGAGGCAGAATGTTATGTTAGTTTGCACCATTGTTATTTATTTAAGGATTATGAACAAGGTTGTTGAACATTTTGTGTTGGCAGCAATATCGTGAACTTTTAGATTGTTGACAAAATCAGGATGTCAGATTATCTAGATATTGACTGATTTTGATTTGTCATAATATCCATATATAATGACAAAATAAATTGTCACGAAGTCACATAATATAGAAGAAAAAACAGGCTGTTGACAAACAGAATTTGTCGTATTAAATATGTCATTACAAAAATGGTTTCGTCACAAATTATACAAAGCAGTCTATCGTAACTATGACAACATGGTCTGTCATGAAAAAAGTATTGTGACTGACAAACTTTCGTCACAACAACCCATATCAGATGCTTCGACAAAAACTTTGACGTCACAATAACCCCTTATTAGTTATTATGAAAAACTGTTATTACAAAGTCATTCGTCACAACTGTATTATTTGTCACAACATCGTATCATAAATTGCATTTATCGTGACAAAATTTAGATTTATTATGACAAAATTTCTCTTTATTATGACAAAAATATTTGTCAAAATAGGTGTCCTATATTGACAAAAGTCGCCCATCTTGCCATTGAAACATATTGTGACAGGGTGGTAAAATTTCGTCATAATAGAGTTGTTTCGACGAGGTAGTTTTGACGAAAGTTGTGACAAATTATTTTGTCATAATAAATGTATTGTGACGAAATCTAGGCCTATTATGACAAAATAGTGATGTCATAATAGACGAAAATTGTTGTAGTGATAACATATATGGTAATGATTGGTAAACTATAGGAGTATAGTATACTCCAGGTGATCTGACCGTTAGATGTAATTTGATGAGCTCCGCCCAATCTCAACGGTCGATTATTATTTTCTATGAAATTGAACTTCAGGTTTGAGTTTATAGAATCGAGACTTCGAGTTTATCAATTACAGGTTAGGCTAGCGTACGTGTGACGTACATTGTATGCCCATCGAATTTTACTATTTAGACAACGAATTAACCGGAGTTTGGTGCATGATACTATATCCTAAATAGTAAAACTCGATGTGCATACAATGTACGCCTGATGTACACTAGTCTAAACCATTATATATATATATATATATATATAAATAAACCTTCAAATTATATAACTCCATACCCTAAAAATAGTCAAACTAATTGTTCATATAGAAAAGCACGTTGTTTATAAGAAATTCCCAAATTAATTCATATAATGAGTGTTATGTTATGTGTACTATAACAGGAATGATTGGTTTATTATGATAAGATGACTCATGATCTATTCTCATATAGACAATTTTTTAGCTACTAAATACGAAACTCTTAACTCATGATATGTTCTCAAATTTACTATATCCAATTAGTCATATTCCCTTATAAGACTATAATAATGTTTACTATAGATAATGTCTTACTCATTAAATGTTAAACTCCTAAATCGTCATAATTCATACGAAAATATTAATATTGTGATAATTAAATTGATAAGTAATTAAGTATACGATTTATAATGTAAAATAACATGCATATGAGATAATTCAAGTGATTATATTGAAGATGAGATAACTCATTATAGGTTTTCAAATCTAATATAGTCAAATAGTCATTTCATATAAGAGTATAATATAGTTAATTAGTTATGCCCTCCATATAAAAATTAAATATTCATATTTGAAAGGCTAAAATTTGGAAAAATCAAAAAGTTGAAAACACCAAATTTGTCTGCTTCTTTCTTTTAACAAAAAAAGGAAAATACTAAAATTTCCCTTCTTCTTTCTCTTTCATAAATTAGAAAGACACAATTTTCCATCCTCTTTCTCTTCAATAAAATTGAAGGAACCAAAATTTTCTCTTCTTTTCTCAAAAAGTTGAAACACAAAATTTCTCACCTTATTTCTCTTTTCATAAGTAAAAGAACAAAACTTTCCTACTTCTTTCTCTTCTCACAAATCAAAACCACCAAACTTTCCCATTGTTTCTTTTCTAAATTATTCAAAACACCAAAATTTTCTATTCTTTCTCTTTACAAAAGTTGAAAACACCAAAATTTCTCTCTTCTTTTAAAATTATCAAATTACCAAATACATTACTTTACTCGATTTATATTTAATTGATAAATTTGTTTAATAGTTAAATTAACCAAGATTTTAATTTATATATATATTCTATTAATATTGTCTATGATCTCAATTATTATCTTCATTATCAATATTGACATTATGCTGATTTTATATTTCGTATTTACCTTTTTACTATTGTAATTTTATTAAAATACATAATATCAAGTGAGATTGTAGGCGGGTTGCGGGTCGGGTTAGTTAGGTCGGTGTTATGTTTTGACACCTCTAAAGCAAATTATACCCTCGTGCTAAACTTGTTCACGTAGACTATCACGGCCAATTTAGAAATTACCTAGTCAATTTGCTTCGTCGACTATCACGAGCAAGTTAGATTGATATAAGCCGAGACTCCAACTCCTGGACTTATCAATCAGAAATGTAGCAAAGTAAATTATTAGTAAACGAACACAAAAGGGAATTGACTTGGACCTACTCCACGGCTGGGAATAGGCTCAAGTATACAATGTGACTCCACAACTAGGGTGATGAACTAGTTGATAATGTCGGCTCTCGTTGCTGGCTTGATTCCGCGCACGAACAAGAAAGAAAAAAAAGAGTTTGATGCTCAAAACTAGGGTTTCTTATTTGTTGCAGCTTAACGGGTTTCAAGAGCTAGAGTTTCCTTTGGGCTTGTCTGGCCTTCTTGCTCTTCTTGGATGCAGATTAAGTTGACCTCATGGCCCACAAATAATTCAGGTTCCACTGATGCGAAGTTCTTAGCCAAATATGCTTGTAGTTGAGCCTTGAACGCTTTGGTTTAACTTCGAGTAATTGGACCTTGAACTTGAACAGCCTCCTCTCAAACCAATGTTGGGCTTGTGAAAGCTTTGGTACGGATTCCCTCATCATCCTCCACCACTTGAACAGCCTGTTTGGAAAGGCTAAATTTTGAGGAAATGGAATTCCAATTCTCAAACTTTTCATATTCTCATGTTTGGAGGTAAAAAGTAAAAAAGGAAATGGAATTCCAAAAGGTAAAAAGTTGGAAATTCTAAATCCTACCAAAAGTGGTCGGAATTGGTGGAGGGAGTGATGGAATTAGTAGACCCCATATTAATTTTGACTCACCTTTACAAGAAAGCCCTTACTACTTTTGGATTTGAAATCATTAATACCAAGGATATTATTGTAAAAGCACTTGTAAGAAATCATTTCCATTTTTTTCCAAACATAAAAAGATGAAATCATTTCCCAAACTTTTGGATTTGTTCCAAACATAAATTCTTGAAATGAATTCCCATTTGAATTCAGATTCTCACAAGAAATGAAATTCATTTTCCAACAGAATTATATCCAAACAAGCTAGAAAAGGATTTGCCCTCAAACTTGAATCATCGTCGAGAAAAGGAGCCAAGTCGGCAACGTTAAAAGTACAGCTCACACCATACTCGCCTAGCAGATCCAACCTGTAAGCATTGTCATTGATGCATGTAAGATTTTGAAATGATCAATCTCTATGAGGCAGCAGCTTAGAATGTCTTTATAGGGGAAAACGCTCCTTCCTCATGTGTACCCAGACCCAATCTCCTGGCTCAAAATTTTGAGGGCGCCGATGTTTGTTCACATTCTTCAAAATCTGCTCGAGTCGCCTCTCTATGTTCAGCCGTGCCTTTTCATGAAAGTTTTTCACAAACTCCTCCTTCTTTGCACCATCTAAGTTAACACGCTCATTGAAAGGTAAAGGAGACGTATCCAATAGGGTTGAAGGATTAAATCCATACACAATCTCAAATGGTTAAAACTTAGTAGTAGAATGAATAGCCCTATTATATGCAAACTCTTCATAAGGCAAACACTCTTCCCACGTCTTGATGTTACTTTGAATGATAGCCCTAAGCATTTGAGACAAGTCCTATTGAACACTTGAGTTTGACCATCCGTTTGAGGGTGGCAAGTAGTAGAAAATAACAACTTT